CAAGGTCTATTTGCTGAAGGCAGGAGACGAGAATGACGCCATGCCACATACTATGTTGTGTGCGGTGGGAGAAGAGATAACATGAGGAGAGGACAGCTGGGGTGTTTCATTAAAGAGAACACCCAGTGGGAAAGAGATCCAATGCAGATACGACATCAGTGTTGGGAGAAGATTTACACCACCTATCACTTCCAATAATGACCGATACTGCAGGACAGACTCGCTGGTATTTAATTGTCCGTGACCATCAGGTGTAGGGAACAACCCACTGATGTCATTGCATTAACTACAAATTATCCTACAGTGGTGGAAGTACAAAGTACATTTACTCAAGTACTGTACTACAATTTTGAGGTACTTGTACGCAGAGATGGGTACTTGGACAAGTTCCAGTGAAACGAAAGTAAAAGTGTCTTTAGCTACTGTACTGTGACGCATTTCACGGTGAAACGGAATACAGTATGTGAGTGGTGTACAGCCACAACCAGGATTTAAATCAAATCCTTTGCATTAGATTGGAGGTCTAAAAAGTGGGCAGCCATCAGTGTTTTATCCGTTATCACTTCATATGAGTACAATATTGTTCATTTAAACAGTTTGTCTGTGTACAGTATGCTATATCTGTCACTACGGAATATGGCTCACTGGTACAAACACAAATAACACTGCTGGTTTGACCAGTACTAGTTTCTTGTTTATAACAAAGAAAGTGCAAAGTAACATGTGATATGAAGTGAAACATTATCATTATACCTGTAATGATGCCTCTCAAATGTCATTTTTACAATCCAGCTTCAATTCACCACCTCATCATCTGCGTCAGAGTTTCTGTACATGTGCGTACATTCTCCCGTCAAGTTTGTTTTTATAGATCACAACGTTAGCGTGAGAAGTGGCGTACGCCTCTTTCAGACGGCGTTTTGTGCGTACACAAGTTATAAATGAGTTATAAACCCCTGATTACTTATCCCACGAGATGAACCTTATCATCTCACTGTAGTGAGATGATATCACTCTCTCCTCTCCTTGGTCCATCTCTTGAGGCCATTTTAATTTCCTCAATTTTAAATGTAAATTGTATTGTTTTCAGCTGAAGCTGAGCGATTGATTGTGACAGAGGATGCAGAGGAAATGATAAAGGGAGTAAAAGATTGAGGAGAGGAAATTAATGAGGAATAAATGGAGACAGTGAAAAGTTGATAGAGGGAAGCAACAGAGAATAGGGCGAAAGGGACAGCAGGGAATTTAAGAGAGGAAAGAGAATTAAGACAAGAGGTGATGATGGAGGGATAGAGTTTATTCGCTCTTCAGAAGAAACCTGGGTGTTATTCTCATTTGTGTTCATTCTGACTGTGGCAAATGCTAACTTTGCGAATTGGAACATGCAACGCAAGTGAAACTTTTACAATTTTCTTGAATTTGTATTTCAAACACTAATATTTGAATCAAACCAAAGAAAATATAGGCCCTGATGTTTTGCTCGAGTCCACGTTTCCCAAACCCTAAAGTACATGCATGGCTTTGCAGGCGCCTGTCCAAACAAGGCTCGAAACGTGATCGCAAGGATCTTGAACTGGCTTCTGAACTTGATGGGAAGCCAGTGTAGAGAAATCAAAATGGTAGTCATGGAGTTTAGCTCAGCTGGTAACAAGAGCGAATTAAACAATTACTCAAGACTCAAAGCCTGGCCCGCAGAAACACCTAGATTATGGAGGGTAGGTTTAACAGAAGGGGATAGAGAGCTTTCGACCAGCATTGGGACTAGCTGGGGCAGATGTAAGAACCTCCGTTTTGTTAGAAGTCAGCTGCAGTAAATTATCTGCCAACCAATTTTTTATGGAGTTGAGGCAATTTTTCCAAACGGACTCGACATCGCAGGAGAGCAAAGTCAGTGTGACCCGTTAGCCTGCAATTATGACCAGGTTGATAAATACGGTAATTTTCCTCTAGTTTCTCAGCAGCAGGCCGAGAACAGCATCTCTTACCGACACAACATTCTCCTTCTTTTGATTTCCTCCACTGCTGGGAGATCCATCGGAATATTAATGCTGTGAAAATGAACACAGCGAGATGCTCCGTTACTCCGATTCCTCACTCTGTCAACTGTCAATCACAAGTTTCCCTTTCTCCAGTGCAAGCCTTTAAAACCAAGCAGGACTGGGGGAGATCAACTTGCACATCTGGAAACTGAGATATGACAAGAGCTGTGAAATTCACGCCACATGACCGAACCAGCAATATGTCAGGAAAGCCAGGGCAACATTTGACAGCAACTTAAGGTGCTGTGTAACTGACATTACTGGGTCAGTTCACTGACTACTTGTACTATTACAGGCATGCGATTGGCAAAAGTCCAAAAAGCAGAAAAACATATGGATTGTCCACATCCGGCAATGCCACACACAAAATAATTCTATCCCATACCACCCTCATGTTACATTGCTTTTCTGTTTGTTTAACTGATGGAACTTGCAGGAAGTAATCCTTCGAAGTCTCTAGAACCACACAGAGGGCTCAATATTAAGCCTTTCATGTTCATAATAAAGTAGCCTCTGGCCTAGACGCTGGGCTTCCATCTACGGACCTCCAGATGCCCCTTCCTGCACATTTTTCAGTCTCTGTTCGAGTGTGTGTGTGTGTGTGTGTACGGTAGATGGGCTACCGCAAAAATGGATTCATGTTATGTATTCACAGTGTAAAGAAAATTCATATTTACATCACTAAATACCTAGCCTTTATTTGACTGCAAAAGTGGTGATAGAAATGTAGAAAAAATGTAGAGAAATAGAGCATGGGATTGAAATGCCGTAAATGGTACAGGAATCAAACCGGGGACACTCTGCTCAGGACATTTCCACGGGTCAACGTTGACGTGTTTTACCTTACTTTTGATACGTACTTATGAATGAATCGTTGTCAAATCAAGAGACAAAGATCACAGATAAACTGCCAAAACATCCTGCAACAGTTGCATGACATGAATGTGATGAGGCATTAATAACAGCACAGACACTGAGCGATGTAGAAAAAGGACATCATTTATTTACAAATAGATATTTCGCAGAGTGACTCAAAAGTTTCTGTAAAAGATTGTCATACCAAAACACGGTTCAGTCGTCTCCAAGTTGAATTGTACAACAAGTGTGACACGGTGAGCATAAAATACATGCACATATATATCTGTACACTCTGATCCCGTCACCAAAATAGATCTGATTACAAAAGATAGTGCTCAATATAAACATCTGTTTCACCAGCTCGCTCACCGTTTGCTTTTCACAAGTTCTGAGATATTCCTCCTCTGGGTGCGGTGTACTAAAATAACAGAGCTGCTCAAGCTTAGCAAAAATAGACTCTGCGGTGTCTCTCGCTGCCGCGGTCTGAATATTAAAACACTTTTCCATCTTCGACAACAAATACTGATGTGTTGTTACTGGCTGAGGAGAGGGTTTGGGGAAAATACGATGCGTTTCTTTTCTCTTCTCTTGCGTTTCTTTTTACAGGCAAAGCTAGTGTTTCCCTCACCCCGATTGAGGTTAAGCCGGCAACAGGAAAGTGAAACGCTCAAGATCCGTGTTCACGTGCTTCAATCTATAAACTCCATCAATCTTCAATTTGTCAGCACTTCTAAGCAGCATTGCAGGAAAATGCATCTCTTAATCCTGCAGAAAGGGATTTATATACATATGCATACATATATAGGGTCTCATGCATGCATGGGGTCTCTTAATAGGAAGATGAGGTTGTGGTTATTGATTTGATTGGTGTAGTTTCCATTTTTCTTCATTACAGCCACTATGTGTTCTCTATTAAATGGTGCCCACCAGTGGTAGCATCCAAAAAGACATGGTGGCAGACAGTAATGCACATGGCTACACCCACAGACACACTACAGTTACATCTGTCCCCTGGACACCGACAATAAAAGCATGAAATGGGCTTCAAGTGCCATGACAGACGCGTATATGAGGGAACACACCGTCGCAGCGTCAGCGACTACGCTAACATGCACTCGATGTTCTGGTCTTTGTTCTCATTCCTGCATTCGCAGGAATGAGGACAAAGACATGTTTACATGCAACGATACAGGACTCAACACTAAGGACTGCCTGCTGACTCGGGGTAAATCAAATGACACGTCGGGCTCCTGAATCTAGGAACTAATTTGCCCGGATGGGCAAGTGGTAAAAAAACAAAAAAAACTTTGTTCTTTATTTTATTACCACTAATAAATAAAACAATTTGTATAGAAAGTAAGATTTCTGACCCAGACGTAAAAAAACATTTACATGAACCCTGAATGAAAATGAATATTCCACTAATATTTGTGTTTACATGCAGACGTGCTAACTCAGATTTACGTACAATGTCACTATGACGTACGTCCTACCGCTCAGCCCTCTAAATAACTTATATAAGAATTAAGTTTAAAGTAGGTGTGTTTCTACGTCCCACTATAAATGTGGGCTTTTTCTCTCGCCTCGCAAACCACTGGCTAGTGAGTCTGTTTACACCGCACAGAGCCGTAAACAGGCACGAGGCCCTGTGGAAGCAAACCGCCATCAACAAAACCATTTAGACGCATATTCTGAATGCACTGTGCTCAAGTCCAAAGAATGCTCCTAAAACCAGAAGAATATTGGCATATCCCATGTCTTGAATCACAATGATACATTCAGAATAAGGCCTTATTCATAAAATAATGCATCATAGACCTGTATCATATTTGGAACATTTGCGGAACATTAGTGTGCATGTCAACATAGTCGCTGACCAGGAAACTAGAGGCCAAAGACTGAAGCCAATTCTCGATAAAGAAACATATGCTATAATGTATTATAAAATCAAACGTAAACGGAACAGGGATCTAGCAGAAGTGAGATCCTCACCACAGGGCTCCTCCTCTCCGCATCAATCTCCTCTACATAATTGTGTAGAAGCTATAGTGAAAATAAGTTAGAGTGGATTGGTTTTCCCGGTGACAGATGGCTGCTGTCAGACAGGCTGATAAACGGAATGCAGAGTTCCTCTGAGCGAGGCCTCGGACAAAGAGCTGCGACGCCCTCTGCTGGCAGCTACAGGTAACTTCTAGTCACATCACTATCGTTCTCTACCTGCCACGGGTTTGTAAACTTCACAGACACGCCCTGCCAAGAAGAATAAACATTCGGCCATGTTTCTTCCAGAGCAGCTACCGCTTTACCCTCTCAGTCACATAAAATAGATCGAAACTCTTCCCCATGTAGAGGATTTATTGCTAAAAACCCAAGCAGCCCACTTCTTCTTCACAGTATCAGAACTCTCCCTCTCAGAAGCACGTCAAACATCACCAACGGTGAGCTACAAACACACTTCAACAAGTGGAGCGAGAGGTCAACGAGTCAGAAGAGGAATTATCTTATAGTTTAACAGTTTAATCAAATCACATTCTTCTAGAACAAAAGCCACTGATGCACTTTGATGTCCCCAATAGAGGACGAGAACATTACAAACTCGCGCAGAAGTCTCGTGCACACAATAACAGATTGAAATGCTGGTCACTAACAAACATTTCTCTATCTTGAGGCTCATTTTTGTTTTATAATTATTTCTCGCAGGTTATGATGACATTTAATGACAAGCTATTGCTGAGGTCTGGTGAAGCAGACTTGAAGTTAACCAGTCAAAGGGAACCTTCAGTGTTGTTCAGCTTGGACCGTAAGTCACTAATGGAAACAACAATATTTGTAATTGGTCCGGTATGGAGTGAGAGCTGTGACGTGATCACTGGGGTCAACTCTTCCCCTCAATGAACGTCCACTAAAAGTGCTTCTTTGTTACCACTCACAGACTCTCATTGAAAAATAGAAATAAAACCCTTTTGCTTTGCTCTCTCTCAATCTAGTCTGTTATTGTGTCTGACCAAGTCTCACTAGAAGAAGTCTTCTTCAGAACTCTCGCCAACTAAATATTCAGCTGAGACATTAAAAACCATTTACAGAACACAAACTCTGATAACTCTCCAACAAGTCACCTCTTACAAGATTTCCGAATGAGACTTTGTTTGACCCAATAACCAACAGACCGGATCAGGTGAAAGGTAAAGAATAATGTTCAATTTCTCTGGAGGGTTCTTTCCATAATGTCAGAACAATCTGAGCAAAAAGGAGAACTTGTATTGGATGAACATTGACGGTGAGGATCACATTACGGCCCGTTTAGCGGCTGCAGCGCTCTCCTTCAATACTGGAACAGTTTTAGGACCTCAAAGTAAAAGATCTTCAAAAATGTTTGAAGACTAATAATCTCCAAGGCCAAAAGACCAAAACATACTCCGTGTAAGGACACAAATGCAGACGTTTCAGGATACACAAACTCAAGTTCGGGAGTTGCAGTGTCGGAAAATATGTCGAACAAAATCCTAAAGCTTCGGATTATACTACACAACACGGCCGTGGACACCAAACGAAGTATGGACGTCTGCACATGGGTCCCTGCAGTCCTTCATGGACATCAGCAGACCTAATGAACCCACACAGCACCTGAACCAGGGTGCAGTGCCCAGAAGGAAGCACAGGGAAGTTCATTTGTGTTTTCATTTGAATTGTTTTGTTATTTTAATTTGATTAAAGACTTTCTCGAGTAATATCCACTAAAACTATTAAAGATTACATAACGCTGCATGCTTTAGTTGATATTGTACTGTCAAACACTTTCACACCTGTAGCTCGGTTCACTTGGTCCGGACAGAAGAAACCATTTTCTAATGGACTGATAGACTGCGTTTGACTTTGTGATTGAGACGGAAACAACCGTCCAAGCAGTCTCGATGCAGTTGTTTGACTCACAGCTTTTATGTCCTTCCTCACAAACAGCTACACATAGTATGTTTCAGCCATAACTAACAGCGAACCCCTCTAAGCTATCCCATCACCCTCACCAACAGAAACCGACCACCAGCACATACAGAGGTATATAAATAGCTATGAGTACATCGTATAAAACACTGACCGCGTCCAGCAGAATGTTTCTCTACCACAGCAGAGTCGGACTTCCAGAGGAAAAAACGAGCCCACAACCTCATAAAGGTAGGTGATGTAGATGTGCTCCTGCTGTGCATTTCCTATTCCAACATCACACCAAAGGAGATTTGTGAGCCTCTGTGGACCACAATGCAGTGCAGCCAGAAGAAAAAACGGTTTCTCCAACAACCCACTACAACGATTTCCACGCGTCACTCCAGAGCTGCTCAAAGGCATCAAAGGATAATTCAGGTCTATTAGAACATGATAGAGTTCTGTTTAGACTCAACCCCACTAGTCCCGCCCAATTCAACATCCAATCCTGAACCCAACCCGACCCAAAACCCCATACTTTGTCGAGACGTGTAGCAGGACTCAGGTCTTATTTTCATAGCTATTTTCATAGCTTTGCCCATGGTTTCTATTGGTTAAGGGGGGTAGACATGACATCCTTGAAGATGTCACCGTGAATCGGATTAATCAAAAAACCAATCAGCTGTTCCAGCCCTAATGTATGCGTACAGCTACTACAAATAAGGAACCAGGAAGTGGACTGTCCGAATGCAATACCGTGCTTATTGTATTATTATTGGTAGAAATGGCTGATGGCTGCAGAAATTACAAAAATAAGACCTAATAAACTAGAATTATCTAGTCTTTGAGTTTGACCGAGTGGAAAATGAGTACACTGATACGTTATGATGCTCCGTCACAGATTGATGAGATCTGTGTGTGCGAGAGGATCTGAGGAGGAACTGGCCTTCAGGTTCATTCCCAGCAACGTGAACCACCGAGACCAAGTCACTCTGTAGAGCAGCTTCAGAGGATTTATCCACATATCGAGGGTCCATAGATCGTAGAACATGGCAACTTAGTCCAAATGGCTGTTAGCGCTGTCGGCCCTAACTGGACCTCACCTGAACTCTTAACTTGGCAAAAAGAAAAAAATAAACATGACATGACAAGAGCAGAGAAGTGTGAGGGTGTGGAGGGGGTCAGGAGAGGCAGAGGGAGCTGGGGAAGGAGGTGAGGGTGCACACCGGTGTGGGCAGGCCATAGTAGGAGGGGTCAGTGAAGGTGAAGAGGAAGAGCAGGAAGAGGAGGACCCCTATCAGGTAGGAGGAGAGGATGGCGAAGCGGTGGGGGTGCTCCATCGCCGTGCTGACAGCTGGGAAACCCATGTAGTTACAGAAGGAGTGGCAGAGCACCGGACCCATCAGGTGACCTGCAACACACAAGAAGAGGAGATAGACCAGTATACGGGGGGGGGGTCGAAGGCGACATGACTTTTTCTGGGTTCTGGACAAACTGTCAAAAGCGAGTCAGACTGCGGCCATTTGTCCACGTCATTTCATTTATTTTCAACATGCTGATTTGCACAACATGCAGAAGGTGTTTCTGTTATCTTCTAAATGTTTCTCCATCACCTCTATGCTAAAAGTCAGTTCTGCACCGCTGTTGCTATGGTAACGTAACATTACACCATGTGTCATCTAACGTTGTTATATTTTCTGTTTACTGCCAAGTATGAGTGAGAACATGACTTTAAGCAACCATTACCGTCTGTATCCTTTCTATTATTCGCCCTACTGATGCAGTCATGCATTTGATTATCTTAACTGATATTACTCCGGAGAGGAAATCAATCCACGTCATAACCATTAAAAGGTTGAAGTCAAGTGCTGCAGTAGAAACACTGATAGTGTTGCTATAACATAAGGAGATTAAATGAATCTTTTTGTCACAACAATCCTCTAGAATTTGAGGTCCAGTATTTTTCTTATACAGCATCGAACAAGTAGGCGCTGTAATGGTGTTACATCTGTTTGTTTTTAAGAGAAGATAAATGAATAAAATGTTGAAATATTAGTCAGACAAGTTGGCTGAATTTGTTGTTACATTAAATCAGGAATTTAAAAGAGTTGGATCAATCAATAGGGTGCAGCCCTAACTGTGAGCCTGATTAATGTAGATTTGTCATCACTCCACTTTACTGTTAGACATTTTGTGTGAAATCGTCATAATCCGCACATGAATTTGTGAGTTACAGTGTGACCTTTGACTTCCAAATTCTGATCAGCTCATCCTTGAGTCACGGTGGACGCTTGTGCTGAATTTAAAGAAATTCCTTCCAGATGTTCCTGAGATCCACGAAAACGGGACAGATGAACGGACGGAAAACTAACAATAAAACCTGATTTGAAGCAGATACTGACTGATGCCTGAGGGTTAGTGGAACATTTCATGTCCAGAATGATCCAGACGCTGTTGCAGAAGATTTTCTTCCCAAGTAAGAACAAAAGACTTTGGTTGTAATTTGATTGTTTTTTGGTGTGAAAATAATCATCTTCCAGAATTGACGTATTGCCGCCTAAACGTTATCAGCAGGTCAACACACCTGTGACGTAAATGAAAGCTCCTCACCTGTTCTGACGAAGAGGAAGGCCGTGTAGGCCCCAAACACCGCTGTGTAGGAGAACTGGAACACTGTTAAGGACCAGAGAAACACATCTCCTCATCATCTCCTCCCTCCTGATACGATCGTGTGGTACAGTGGGATCCAGTCACACACACACACACTACGCTAACACACGTCGGTGCTCACCTGCGGAGAGGAAGATCCCCGACAGCGTCCCTTGTCTGAACCGCAGCAGCTCGATCACATGGTGGAAGTGAGCTGGAGGAGAGACGGCGGTACGTTACAAGTGTCGTGGATTTACATCAGCTGCTTTCACAGCCATGTCCTCCTGAGTGCTATGTGCTATGTTTTTTTCCGATCACTTGGGGGCAGCAGAACAATATGTAAACGCAGCATTGTGTTGTTTCTCTGATGTGACTGGATGATTGTATTTGCATCTGTTGGTGTTCCACCAGCAAAGGATCTTGTAAAGTTGATATTGCTAACATGCTAGCAAACAGCTGCAGGCAGAGAGCAACGTGATCATCTCATTGGTGTCCACTAGAAGAATTTAAATTCAATAAATCCCTCTGACTTTAGCTCTGGTTTGGGTCTCCACCACCTCTCCACTATGCTCCACTATGTTCACCAGCTGCTCTCTAACCGTGTCTGTCTGCTGTTGAGCAGGTACGTGTTCTGTGGCTTTATCAGAGACTTTTCACTGAAAACAGCTGCAGATGCTGCAGGAAACCATGCTGACGAAAGGCTGAACATCTCTGTAGAGCTTAAGGGAAACTGCAGAGTCTCTGTGGGGTCCTTTAGTATTATGCATCATAATACATTTCTATTGTAAAAATATTGATTAAAGCAACTTCCATAACAGAAGGTATCATGTTAGGGAAGAACATTTTAAGAGCAGATTTGTTTGAAAAGTCTACACCTACGAAGACATTGACTCTATAAAGAACTGCAAACTCCAGAGGAGTGAAACGTGTGACACGATACGGAACCAGATAAATGTTATTGCTTTACTTTAGAGAGAAGATGGACCACAGGATAAAACTAAAAGAACAAAAGTAAAATCTACTCATTGTGCAGAATGGCCAATTTCAGAAGAATATACATATTATAGGTTTATAATTACTGATGCATCATGTGTTCATCGCTTTAATGCTGCAGCTGGTACAGACGGAGCTCATTTTAATCTATAGATAGATAGATAGATAGATAGATAGATAGATAGATAGATAGATAGATAGATAGATAGATAGATAGATAGATATAGATATAGATATATATATATATTATTTAAATGGCATAATGCTGATCTGTATCTGCCAAATAACTAGTAACTAAAGCTGAAGTGGAGTAAAAGGTTTCTCCCCCGAGATGTAGATGGAGACTTGGAACAGTGGGAAAAATAACTGAAGATCTAAAGGTGTTCAGTAAGGATTTGAAAAGTGTTGTTACAAAAAAATGACACAAAAAATACACACAACTCGCATTTGAGCTGCTAAACAATGGTATCAACACCGCTTCTTATCAAATAAAGTAGACATTACTTATACTACTCATTCACAAGGTAACGTTATGGATACAATGAAACTGACACTGGCAGAACTCACCGACTCCAAAGAAGAGGGGGCAGGTGAAGATGGCAGCGAGAGGACCGGCACAGGGCACCAACATGGGCAGCATGCAGGCCCTGAACACCAGCTCCTCCGTCAGCGGCGCCACCACCTGATTCCTCAACCAGCGCATGTCGCTGAAGCACAACATCCAGAACCATGGGTCTGCAGGAAGACAGAGACAGAGGAGGAGGCTGTAGAGACAGCGCTTCATTATAGTTCACGGGCGGTTTGTGTGCAGATATGGAGATTTTGTCCAAATTTGAAAATGGCGCTAAAAATCTGTGACTTCATCCAAAAAGAAAGGAAAAAAAAATAAAAAATAGATGACACAATCCAGCATGTTGCCTGTCTCACCCAAGGCCACCCGGATCCCATCCATGAAGCTCCAGGGACAGTCCATAGCTAATTGTGTGAGGGGGCCCAGAAACAGGACCTGCAGCAAGAACCACACACAAGACAGGCTCTAACTTCAGGCAGCAGGATGACATTGACGATATCACTACTTATGAAAAGAAACAGCTTATTACTACAAATGTATGACTTGTGTGTGTAATAGTTAATGTTTGTCACTCCAACTGAAAGGTTCTATTGATAACATTGGCTGTTGGTAGTTTGTTTTGTTTAAAAATGCCAACTCGGGTTGTATTCCCCGATGCCGCAGCGGCTGTCAGCAGTATTTAGTGTGTGTGTGTTTACGTCATTAAAGAGGTATAATAAGAACTGTGTGCTACACAAAACATGCAGTCATTCTCATCGCCATTCAGCTCTCGTCCCAAAATCCATTTTCATCCTCCTCGATCCTACTTTCTCCGGCCCCAGGACGACGGGACGTCCTTAGGCTCGAGCCCCGGACCACTAGATAAACTATTTTTCTGCCAACTAAATTTGCTTTAATCATAAAACACAGAATTCAGACAAATTAAAACAGAAAACATGAACTTTCAGAAAAAAATTAAGCAGAATCTGGGAAAAAAACAATAAAAGTGATTTAATAGGGCCCTACGTCTTGACTGACGGCGTCGTCACAAAAGCGTAGCACCCACCCTCCGGTTCCCCCTCAGGTAAACACTGTTACGTCTGTCAGCAGTCTATGCTGCTGTTTGCACAGCTGTTTGCACAGCTGTTGGCACTGTTGAGAGCCGAGCTATGAATTGCGTATAGAGAACCTTTCAAGCGACGCTCGGTGGTTAAACTCTGCTTATGACTGATCATAGAAGATGTGTTCCTTACCATGGTGAGCATCAGAGGAAGTATGATTGCAGGAATAAGGCCTTCAAACCGGATCCCCATGAGAGCCAGTAACGATGGGACCGTCTAACACACAAACACACCAGTGTCAGTCTGATGACACAACAGCTTATGTGTCAGACAGCAACAAGACAAAACAGCACATGTGTGGCAAAATGAATACATTAAATCCTCAGGGTTTATAGTCAGTGGTTTCTGAGACACGGACTCACCCTGACACCTGTGAATTCTCTCCATGCCCACACAAAGAGAGGCGACAGGCCCGACACGATGAGTACACTGGTGAAGCGTCTCTTGATCACAGTGGGGTGATCCCTGAGAAAAAGGACCAGTAGAGACATTAATCACACATCACATGATGGGGGACAAAACTCAAGCTGGCAACGGTTTACAGCAGTCAAACACCACCAGCACAGACGTGCTTTTGCTAATGTGCAGAATGTTAATCATATCGTTTTAACGCTCTGTGGCTTCTCGCTTAACCGATGGAGCATCCTCGCCCCACAGACTATTTCTTGGCTAGGACCAGCGACTTCCTGGAGTCTCTAATGGTTACCTAGCAACTGCTCCCAACCAACCAAGAACACTCTGGCACATAACCGGCTCTGATCTATTCAAGCGTCCCAATAAGCCATGACGGCGTGACAGTGAGCCAGCATGCACAAAACCACGACTAGGGCTGTACCAAAAGTCAGTTATTTTCACATTCGAATATTCAATTGAGGTTTTCAAGTAAAGCTTTGCACGTCATCACCCAAAAAAAAAGGGGGGGG